GATAAAACAGCGTTCATTTGTTGTGACTGTTAATTTTTCCCGCATCTTTTATCAACTTTATTTATTGTAATTCAGATTTTATTGATTTAACAATTATTGGTTGAATAGTTGGGTGGTCATATTTGTTTAGGTAACGATGTACATTTAATTTATAGTGAATTATAGAACCGTCATTTACCAGATTACCTGCTCTGATTTTTACGGGCAAGGGCGCGTGTCTAACCTACCTGAACAGTCACTCTTCAGTCCAAACCGCAGTTTGGATTCTACAGTGTCACCAAAGATATATTAGTCGATTAGTTGGTTCAGTGGGCTTATGATTAACCTGGTTTTATACTTAGACGGTTTCCGAGCATACAGGTTTTTCTCTGCAAGCTTCAATAAAAGATAACCAGTCTATCACTATCGTCAGCCTACGGTTTCTCAAATGTAGTTTAGGAATTTTGCATTCCCTTTGTGATATCTTGTCGTTTCCTGTATGTACGTATGGCTTGTATCCATTTCACAGTTTTTATGGAGTTGCAATCTGATCTCCATAACCCTCACATCGATATCCTGAATATTTAACTAGGATTTGAACGATCAGGCCTTGTTTTTAGCTCCCTATCTAAAAAAGAGCTATATAGCGTTGTGACTAAACTCGCTGAGCGTATCTGAATTGATTCTATTTAAACGATGTGAATCGAAAGAAACCTGATTTAGCATTTGATTGCTCATGTTTTTACTTCAGGCAGACCTCTTTGCAGATGATTCCTCATTTTTCGTCATGGGTGGGTCAGGTGAACTTGGGATTGTTTCAGGTGACCACGTCAGTAATACAGTTTCCAGCTACATTCACCAATTCGAAAGCTTTTCATGATAAGCTGATCGCCTCCAAGTAATGCCGACTGAATAATCACATTCATTCGGGTCCAACATACCTTTCAGAAGCTTAGAATTATAGGTTGAAAAGAACTTCATAGTACAATTTTCCTACCGTTTTTTGTATCACTGTCCACAGAATATTGACAGAAGTGAGTTGAAAGCACTTTTTAAGACATTATTGTAGTTATTAGTAGATCATTAAGCAACTGGAAGAAAAATACATGCAGAGTCAAAACTGACAATGAAAAAGTATGGTAACGAAATCGAAAACTAACCACAAATCACTTCGCCTAAAACAAAAATAAACAAAAGACGTGCTTTTAAGAAAATGATTTTTTTCTCATTTATGCCCTAATTAATCTAGCTAAAATGAAACAATCGGTACTACAAAATTTTATTTGGCAAGGTCAAGTACAATATTATTTGAAATAGCGACCCCAATGAAGTTGAAGTAGCAAAATGGCAGAAGTACAACTGTAGGCGAACATCACCAGCAACTGGCTACTACGCTAAATATCAAGCATGAGGAACAAAAATGACTGATGCTGTTTGACAGACAACTTGTGTTGCATAGTAAGCTATCTGTCATATGGTTAGTTTCAGGATGCAATTGCTATCATCGCCTGTTCGCCTTTTTTTTACTCTAAGGATTCATGGTGAAAAACAATCCTCATAAAAGTATACGGTTCGATTCTTCGTCCTCATCATGAGTAATAAAGAGGAAATTATCAAAAAACGTATCGGACACAATTGATGCTCTCTATTCGTAGGGACTTCTGATACCGTTTCGACGGCCTAGATATTCTTCGTCATCACGTTTGTGATGTATAGAAGGCGGTTTAGTTCACTGGCAACGACTGCCACGTACGTTTATCTTCTGGGGATTTTCCGGAAGGTTAATGTTTGTAACAGTAGAGTCACGTCAAGGAAACTATAGCGTCTTACGCAATTGTTCAGACGACTTGAAGTAGATAATGTGGCAATAACACCGGTTAGGATTGTTGTGAAAATCTCGCTGTACACAATTGCAGTCTCGTGCTTGACCGTTCAAAGTTAACGCTTCAATTTTAAATGTCTTCCCGGATTCATTCCTGTGTAAAATGTAACTGATTTTACAGTTTTGCTTTTTCTAAAGATGTGTCTTGAGAACTTCCTGTTTGAATTGTCTTACATCAGATCACGCGATCATCTGAGTAGCACACACGGTATTAGCGTTTCCACCAGCATCTAGATTATAACTACATTTTCAGAAAATTAAGGTCCCAATATAGAGCTAGTAAAAGTCCCTGTATCCAGCGACAGGGTTATGAGCAAATTCAAGACATCATTAAATAACGAAACTTGGAGGGATGTGTACAACATGGACTACATGACCGAAACATCGAAACCTAGTCTCCAATTGAGTATCGAATATTACACTCCAACCAAGATTCCTGCTTCTAGTAGGCCTGGCAAGCGCTAAAAACTTAGATAAAAGGCCGACCTAAACTCGGTAATGCAGACTGTTTGAAATATGGGAACAATGGCGATACATGTAACACATGCTCATCGCTGTTTAAAACAGACGACTTAGAATTCGAATGTAGTTTTTGTAACGTCTGATTCCACTAAAAGCGGCCATACCAATTCTCATCAGGAAACCTAATTTATGCAACATAGCCACAACCAAATACGCAAATATGTGAGTCAGCTTGCACACAAATACCAGTTTTCCGGTAGGTCGCCTCCTACCAATGAAGTCTGTCCGCAATACCTCTCATATCTTTCAAGAATGTTAAGTAAGTCGATTCTGACCGACTCTGTTGAGCATTTATGTAACCTTGGATGCGCCAACAAACAAGTCACTGATGCTAAAAGTTCGAAATTAGTGTACAAGGGTTGTGGCTCACACTGTTGAAGAATTATTGGGCCTAATTGCAAAAAGAACAGTTGACAGTCTTTCGCTTTACTCACTGAGACGAAGTCTAATGTTTAACATTTACACTGAAAGTCAGAAGGAGTACTTGGTTCACAACTTGATCTTAAGTTATTTATATCGCGAACTACATATTTGTTCATATTTCTTAGTATTTTGTGAGATAAACCTACACATAGATTGTTTAGTTTCTTCACCAAACCTAAGTATAACATGTGCAATGGATCTAAGGGAAAAGTCAGGATCAAAATAATGTCAGGCGTTTTGACATCGGAATGGCCTTGATTATGAATCTACTAACGAAGGTTATTATCAGTTCTCAATGTACATTTACCATTTGAAGCGATCCTCTTTCCGTCAAGACGCCGACCCACGATAACACACCTATCACAACTTGCTTCCCTATTGTGATATCTGATATCTGGGCGAGCAGGCCCATCACAAATTACAGTTATCAGTTTAATGGCTATGCATTTGATGAACTTAACACTTGGCAATTCTTTCAGTTCCGAAGTAGTGTCAAAAGATACTTCGTTGAATTCTGCCGGCTAAGTGCTTCCTCCATGTATACCTATTATGAACCCGTCACTAAACCTAGGGGAAAAGATGCGTCCTGATATAGACAATATCTGTTGACTAAAGCTCCTTGAAACAGAAAGTCCGTCTACGTTGATGTGTAAATTCAACGTATCGAATTCAAAAGTACACAACCAAAGTTAAACATATCTTAGGGGATTATTTTCAACCCGAGTTAGTAGTGAATCTCACTGCTGATCAACTTCAGTTAAATATTTGTGCATGTGATCAGCATCACTGATGCTCAGACAGCTGTTTGTCATCGAATTCATCAATGTCACGTTGATCTGTTCTCTCCGGGTTAAAGACGTTAGTAAACACAAGCGAGTGTCATCACATTCTACACGAAATAGATTAACGGACTCACTTTTTCACGTGCCATTATCATTCAATCTCCTTTCGTAGTTGTGGCTACCGGACGTTATCACAGTTGACAGATTCTGATTACAATTGAACTCAGTATTGACCGATGATAAGGTGATATAAATAACTAATAAAGCCGATTACCATTGGTCGTGCTTTCATTAACAAGTTGGCTAAACGGAAGCGAGTTACGTGTTTTTATGAATACCGCCCACATTCAGCGTTATGTAGATCTGTGACAGCCAAGCAAGCGTGACATCTGCGTTGTTGCCCTACGTCAAGGAACACTCTCCCAGACGTTTTGCTGAATTCATATTAAAGAACAAACGAGGTAATTGGTGATAACGAACACGGACGAAGGGAGCATGCTACTTACCTGAATGTCGTAAGTTATTTGTGATTTCCACCAAGCATGTTCGAACAGATAAGTTAAACAAACACCAAAGTTCGGATATATACATCTCAGGAATTCCCCTCTGTTTGCATATTTTGACATGTAATAATCATAATTGTTCTCAATTGTTATTTAACAAAACATTATCTTGAAGAGGATCATGAAGCTGTCAGTGCAGAGAGCGACATATTCAGATGGGTTACTTTACACATATTTGTCTACACATTTCCCCCGAAATACATAAAATAATTAGAAAAAATCAACAATGCCCCTAAATAACCAACGTTAGGGGTGAAAACTTGACTCTTCCGCCTTACTGATGCTACCACCTACTTCATTTCTCCTAGTTCGCCTTTATTACCCCCTTATTGGTAGTCTGGGTGAAAATATTGAAAATACTGGGTACTATCTCCAGATGGTACTCGGGAATTCTTGGAATGATTCTTAGAGATTTTTGAATACTGGTTATAGTTACAGCATAATGTGTGCAGAACTTTCATAACTTCGCCACTTTCTTGCTATACCGTGTTAATTTGATTTTTATAGGCGACAAAACTTCACTACACAGACGGCTTTGAATGACTAAATTTCAAACTTTGTTGTAAGTAGATTCAAAGTTAATTGCTGTAAATACTCACTTACTTGCTAATAGCATACAACTTATCTAGCACAGCATTTTGGATTTCAGGCGATATACATTAGTCGTTACACTGAATTTGATTGGTTAAGTCAACGTCACAATCATCCTGTACATTCATAGCCGGATTAGATTTCTTTGGTCTTTAGCCTAAATTATCGATATTTAGCATTTATAAGTGTGCTTATCATCTTAAAACGGGAAAGTTATGATATATTGACGGCATTAACTAAGCCAATCAGAATTAAGATAATTCCTTAAATACTGCGCGACATTCAAAGTTGTCTCCCGTATTACCAATATATTTGTCACGAGTTTCAATAAACCGGTCGATTTCTCTACACTCGCTTCTTATTGCTTCGGTACAGCTCAAATATTGTAACACGGTGAGATAGACATGAATTTTAATTTAAACCTACTGAATAATCGACTGGTTAAATAAATACCTTCAATTTGTGAGATTCAGTTAGTTGGATGCTAATTGATCCGAGAATTTGTGCATCTCATCGAGAGATGTACTCCAGTGACAGTTCTAGCCAACTGACCGAGTTGAACGTTACAGTGATAAAAATTCATATGTTATTATTAACTAGATGAGAACTCAGGGTAACTGATTTTTAAAATGCTAATGATCAATAAAAATATTTATTGAGTATCCAGAAAGTTAGTTTATAGTAGTGCTTAACTAGGCAAGTGAAAATTACTAGTTCATATGGCAGATCGCTCCTAAAAAGCCTGTATTTTAACGCTTAGTCGTGATGCCACATTTAGTATTCTCCCGTCCTAGCTCCTCTGAGTCACAGTCCAAAGTTCATTGAGTTTGCAAACAGAAATGTGGCAAGGTATCGGATTATAACTGAAGTCAGTCCGTGATAATTACGGCAAAATTAATTTCTTAAAACAACTCAAAACTCCAGTCTTACTTTTAACATCTAGTCCTAAACTTTGGAAGGTTTCTGGAAGTGTTTTAAATGGTTTTCGGGTCATCATATAACCACAAAGAACTTATAGCTTCATTTTTTTTAAAATTTACGGGAATACAACAACTTTTTGGGTTTACTTAAGTGATGGAACTAAACTTCAATGAAAATTTATTCCATTAAATGCTCATCTCAGAAAGTTGTTCATTGCTTAATGGATGTGCATATTCCACACAGTGTCTGCATAACTTATTATAGGTAATGAAAAGCTAGTAACGTCGTAATCACGCGTTCATGAAAATCGGACACTGATGTTTAAGTAGTAATGCCTTGGAGTATATCATGGCAACAGTTCGCTACACCCTATCAAATAAAAATTTACATAGTCACTATGAATTCCTATTAACCCTCGATAGTAGGATTATTCCATCAATTATTGCTGTCATAATTAATAGTTTGCGATGTTTTCTATGTTGATACAACATTCTAGATACGAAATCAATTTAGTGTATGCAATTCAAGTTTGCTTGCTCTCTGCCCTTCATGTTGTTACTTTAAATAAATTTCTCTGGTTCTGGATCCATTTTCTTACATTTAAACCACCGTTTCTTCGCTGATGTTATGCGTTTTGTGTTTCAGGTTACTTCTGTATTCGAGTTTCTATTAGCTTGGATTGCTGGGTATTTAATACCAGGATATAGAAATGTCCTAAAGAATCCTGTTCCTACTTCGTAACAAGAATGCACCTAAAACTCAGGATTCGTTTTTTAATAACAATATTTCTGGTACTATCTTTTTCAATTGCATTTATTTGGAGATTTCAAGAGCTGAAATATACCGAGTTACTAGGAATATGGACATTTAAAAGGGAATCTGATAGGCTTAAGCCAATTTTGATTAAATCTGTTGGGTATCAATGCGATTCTCATAACATAAGTGTATTTCAAACTCAAATTAACATATATAATAAAGTCCGTCATCAGTCAAATTCTTGTATTAACTGTCAAAGCTCCATAGTAGTTTTCACACTTTCGAAATCCTCACCTACAAGCAGATATTTGGTTCATATTATGAAGGTCTTACTGATCCCACATCATGTTATTTCAATGAAGCATGCTCAACTAAGTAATATTTCAGATCTTCTGCATTCGATTTCACAAAATGAACATATTAGGATAATAATATTCGAAAATTTCGCACTTTATACGAACTTACCACCACTACAAAAGTTACAACTTGATACTCTCTGCAAAAACTACAATATTGGGGTGGTCGGGTTTCTGTTCGATGGTGAAGGTTTCACTACTGAAGGTGGCACGTGGTCTAAGGTTAGTTATCCTCATTTTTGCGGTTAAATAATACAACTGATTTATCACGCCATCGATTTAAAATAGGCTATTACAAACGACTACTGTTATGCTTCTACTTATACTTCGGTATCTGCGTGTACTGGGTTCAACTAACGCAACACTGAGCATTATGTTGACGTTGAATGACTAAGGTAATTCACGAGATGTTTTTAATAAACTGTGAACAGGTTAAACAATTGACGTCGAGTAGCTGGCGGCCATATAAAAGTTTCCCTACCTTTTCTACTATCTAAAGTTCAACTAAAAGTTTCTTTATCTGTGTTACATGCGTGTTCATCAGTCCAACTACGTTACCGTAAGTCAGAATTATGTTTAATAATCAATTTTAATGAATTACTAGGAGTGGCCAAAGTTCTTGAACTTATATTGTCGTGTATAGAAGCGTTCATCACTTTTCTCTATCAAAGCTCGAGTTTAAAATACCCGTTTGTCTACTAGAAAGTGATTATTAAGTACAGCGGTTCACTATATCATTGTTATAAAGGAGCCATAGAGTCAAACGTTGTGTGAATTGTTAGCACTTAATCAGGGATTTCTTCATATCACTATTCATGTATTGTGTAACCGCTGAATAATTGATGCTGAATTTAGACTTTAAGTACCAAATAAACAAAATAAATCGGTTAATTAGGTTAACGGTCTTGTTGAAGGGTTGCAAACTTACCGGTTAGTACCATAATCTGTGGTTAGTAAACTAGGGTTGAGTGATTCGAACTTAGCTATGGCGGCCCAGATACATTCATTTTTTCCCCTATAAATATTGAACATAATACTATTCCACTTTTCATTCCAAAGTTCCATTCACTCTTTTCTAACTTTGTCCTTACGTTTAGTTTCGCATTGATGTTGGTATCATAGTAACCACTTTAATTTTCCTCACATGCCGATATAAATTGTCGTAATAACGATAATGTTAATGCTTACACAGTCAGTTAAGTCCAGTACACAAATTTATTTGAAGCTACTGCATAGTACTGTTGTGTAGTGGAATTTTAGGTCACAGTTATCCTTAAGCTAAAGCCTCTTAAAAATATTCGTCTAAAATCGTGAAAGTAAGGCTGCCGTTGAGTTAATAAATTTTCTAAAGGCTTGAAAACTTCAGAAAAATCATGAAATTGTTCTTGTTCGCATCAAAATGTCTTATGAAGTTGCAACTAAAACATATGGTGCTCTTCGTGTGTCCGACCATTAGGCTAATGATATCTATCCTTTCAAAACTTTCGGCAAAATTAAATTATTAGTTATTGATGGTATCGTGTAATTAACTGTTTAAACCTTATAAAGTGCACAATTTCGTTTTAGTTAGACCAACTTTCACAAAAAGCGGCTACCAACTTGTTTTCATCATAATACTTCATGTTACGGAAGAAATTGCTATTCATTTGACACTTTTATTGTGCCATCAAATCCGGTCAGGATGCACTGTGATCCGCTTGCGAAAATTGGTCATAAGCTCCTAAAAGGATTTATGTTTTACAATTATACTAACTGACTTTGTCCTTGATAAATACACGGAAAGGTCTGTAATATTTCTCAATGTACATTAGTCGAAGGATAAGTTTTATTTGATTAGCTGTACTATTTTAACCAAAGTTAAGTACTGACTTTAACACTTTATACTATTTAGTCTGAACAGTTATCAGTATTAAGCATAAAGGTGAACATTACCGGTTTAAAAGTTGCTTCTTCGTCACTTCTGTAAAAGGTTTAGAGGATATGCTTCACTTAGAACTCGAGACATTTATTCAAACAAGATATTTTGTGATCTACATGGGCTATGTGCTTAGAGGGTATCAGATTTCATGGAAAGTATCCACATAAAAAGTTATAGATGAATTTTTCTGAACAATCCCTTGTGATGAAACTATTACGTTGAACTTCCTAGTACCTGTTAATTTGTCTTTGTCTCTTCCTGATGTACATTTAATATGTAAACTTATTTCAACAATTTTTGAACTCAGCACATATTTGTGTCAACAATTCTTACTATTGATTTTATAATTATGTCTTCTTACTTTAAGATTGGTGAATTGCCACTCTACATCCATCGATTAAGAAAACCTCCACAAGGATTCTATACATCTCTGAATGCATCAATACTTAGGGTCACTCGTTCCGGTCGCATGAATCCTGACACACTTGAGATTGAAAAACAGATTAACGGAGCTGGAAACCAATCACAAACTCAAACTGTTTGTTGCATGGCAACGTTGGTTCCTTTTACGAACAACAAACAGTTCTACAGCACCATCGCATTTACTAAAACTGGGGAATATTCTAAACGAATACGAACTTATGACTCATTACCGATTGATATGAAGAGTTGTGCTGTAAGTTGATTTTAATGACGGGAATAAAAGTAATTAATGTTCATTACAGATTTCTAATATTTTTTCAGATTGGCAATTATAGTCATAGTATGAGCTGAGAATGATAAAAGTATAAGGTACCTTTACAAGTTTAGCATGAGTTTTTTTCTTCACACCTCTATTGATTATTATCAAGACTCGAGGAAGACATGATGTTTTCAATTTCACGGTCCAAAAACATTTATATAAACATTACATAAACTGTCATCCTGTCATTAAATTTATTTTGGATCATTGGCTTTTGTTACTAGAATGCATTTCACGGATGGAATCTCATTTATTTCCATACTGAGAACTAGTTTCTAATGCTCAAATTGAGTGGAAAAAGTAAAGCAACGGTATAGTCATGTTACGATACTTTGGAATGAATGATACTAGAGTTTGGCTGGGAATCGCTGACCCTTCATAACTGTGACTGGGGACAGAAACATAGAACAGATTAAGTATATACAAATGTTATCAGAAGTGACCTAAAACCGAAGTCACCAGCCATCTTGTTTTCGTTTTATTTCACCCTCTGAATCGATAGTTAAGTGTTCCAATTTTAACTGTTGCTTTGGATGGCTTTTATTGATGCATCTATCGAAGTTATATGGTTTATTTTTAGTTTATTTGCAAGCATTTGTAATTTCAACTAGTACAGAATGTCTCTTGGGTTCTGATTACATAGAGCTTTATATGCTTAAGTAAATTAGGATGAAAATAGAGTAATTTAATGTGAAAATCGAACTAGTTTCTTTATGACTCAAACAGAGTACTTGTTTTTCATGTCATATATGCCTTAGTTTATTCTCAATGCTTTATTTATTAATTTATTATTATGTTTTGCAACTCCATGTCACAAATTTTGTATGATAAAAAAGAACGAATCTGTCAGGAATCCAACTCATTTCCTTGAGATATATCTTTATACAACTATGGCTAAAAACTTGGGTAAATAGCTTTCAGGTTACCTTGTTGTTCATATACGTATCCACTTAGCTGTTCAAAAACTTTAATTATGAAAAGAGCAAGAACAAAGATTCTAGCAGAATAGCATGAATTCATTTTATTTCGTAGGTTCTCGTCAGCTGCTTACAGCCTGTGATATTTAAAAATCATAATTACATGATGGGTTTAAATTGCCTACTGAATATTGTAAATATACACCTAATGTGAAAGAATATTCTACAAGATTAATTGTGACAACAGTTTAAAAGTGGGTTAGAAACAATTGATTACATAATGAATAAACATTGATAGGAATATAGTGAGTAGAGTTCAGTTGGAAGATTATTAATTTGAAAGGTAGTTAAAAAAATGAAATAAAATCAGTGATGTAATAAATGCAAAAGAAAGAAAAAAGGAAAAAGAATTTTAAGGTGCAGTGAAGGGATATTTATCACCAGGGCAAGGAAAGTTAACCACCGTCTCCTTTTGAATACATAGGTCAGGTTTTTGACGCCTGATGGCAATGGCTTCAGCAAACTTCAGAAGACTGGAGTTTGGCTGCTTACTAATCACCCGTCTCATCAACATCAATCCGCCTGCTAAAACTTTTCAATAACGCTCACACTAACATACATTTCACTATGGAGCACGAACAGAACGACATGTTACACTTTCTTGATGTTGCCATAAAACCCAGAGGAGATGGGAGAGTCCAACGTTCAGTTTATAGAAAAAGTAATTGGAATGACCTCTACCTGAATTTCAATAGTTTTTGTCCAATTAGTTACAAGAAGGCATTGGTTAAAACACTATATTACAGGGTAGAAAAGATATGTACCACCGACAAACTGGAAGAAGAATTAATGAACGTAGAAAAATGTCTAAAAGACAACTTTTATCCACAAAAGTTTATTAACAAATATAAAAAGCCCTGGAAAACAAGACAGAAATAACTACGGTCAATAAAAAACCAGTATATATAAATCTTAACTTTAAAGGTGATAACGTCGCACAAATAATCAACAGGAGACTGAACACTTCAGATAAGATGCGCAGCGTAATTATCGACCGGATCAATGACACGTAAGGACGAACTAGAGTTCTGATTGGCCCTGCTACCCTATCTAGCCCAGCCACTTGAGTCTAGAACGCAAGTCTTAGCCTCTGAGTTATGAATCGTTATATTTCAAACATACTCTGTTTATATACCAACCAAACAAACCACATCGTACCATAAAATAGAAAACAACATTTGTACAATATTTAACAAGTGAAATGAATATAGACCAATAGGGAATGTCCATTTAACGTCCAAGGACACCATTAGACTTAACATGATAATTATCGGTATATTTTTCCGAATATCCTAACACATTTGTTTTGTCGAAACAGTGGCACTATACAAAAGAGGTCTTAAATGTCTTCGTATGCGTTTTTAATTTCTTATAATAATAATAATCTTATCTGTGGTTTAGCTGCTTCACATTAATCCTTTGGATTTTATGTTAGAAGTTTGCTAGGCTACCTTGATTCAGACGGTCGGATGGTACCACTAGCTTTTGCATAGTAATTTGACTAAAAGTCAAATATAAGAACCACTGTTTGGTCATCAAATTTATTTAAAATTAAGGTTTAGGCGAGACTATAATTTATAGACGAACCAATCATATTTAAGATATCAGGTCTTACATTTTGGTGCGAAATTCATTCACTTATTCGGTTAAATATCATTTTTGCTTTATAGTTGATGTTAATTCGTTTTGAAAAAATCAATTCTAATTACTAACCCAAACGTCCATCTGTAAATTTCGACCCTAACTCCTCACACGAGTCTATAACCCTCATTTAATCCTAGTAGGTAAGTGGACATCTCAAGGTCATTTTAGTGTTGTTCCAAGGTCGTCCATTAATTATAATCTCACCAAGGTTTCAACTGACGTCTATAAGTGATGTATTTATGTAACAAATAATAGCTAGAGCTAGTTTGACTATGTCTTTGTTTTTATATAAATTATCATTACTGTTTAAGGTGAATCATTAAATAAATTCTCGCTTACTAGAAAGATTTTTGAAATATGTTGAACATATTAATTATTTCGTCAAATGGGATCTTCTGTTGATCTTTGAATAGATTTAACCGTCTTTTGAACGTTGGCATCAAAATTTGATACGTTAAGTTACTTAGGTAGTTAAAACCTAAAATTGTAGGGAGATACAATTTGTATGGAAGTACAAAAAATCTAGTTTGTATATATATTTCACATATATCACATTGAATTAATTAAAAACACTAATGTTTAACCTCTGTAGAACCTGAAAACCCAAGAGTTTGTTTAAATAACCCTAAATAAAATTTCTTTATTTTTTCATATTATAAATCGTGTCTAATTTTTAGGTTCATTTTGATGATGATGTGATTACCATTTGATTCGCTAATAATGGGGTTTCACAACTTTATTTATTTGAGATTGGAGGACACAATTTCTGCTTAGCTTTATAGTTAGGTCGAAAATGCACTCCATTCTAAAATACTAAATCAAAACAAAGAAATTGTAGCTATAATAATAAAGTAGATTTTGTCAGATATCAATCGATAACCGAAAATGTTGATCAAAATCATGTTTACCAATGTTAAATCATAATGCTCAAAGTAGAGTAGTAAGCGGATACAATCTAAAATCAAGTGTCATCAATAGTACAGTAGCTCGTCATCTATGGGATATTGGGAAACGATATTTACATCAAATATCTCTTAAGTAAAATCGGTTGATAATTCAATTCAAGTTTACTTTGGTTTACGGAGGTCATTTCAATTAGGTTTAAGTCAGAAATTTGGTCTGCAAATAAATTATTGTTTGACTTCTAATTATCCTGGTAACAGTTTTTCATTATTTTAATTCCCATTTAATAATTATATTTTTAGGTGTGGTTAAAATTCGTTTATTTTAAGTAGTGTTTTGCTCTTTGTATCATCTACCTATTTCTATCATTGTCTATTTAATCCCTAACATGGTCGGTTAGAATTTTCTCAGTAATCTTAAAATGATACCGCTTTGACTCTAATTTTCTCAGTCATAATGCACAATTATAATCCCACATTTTAACAATTTTCTCCGTTTTCTAATCGACTACGAATTCCATAATTTTAAAGTATTGTAATTGTTGTCGTTGCAATTATTAAAACTATACTACTGACGATGTTGATTTTGAAAGAAAGGAGAAAATCCGACAAATTTAAGCGTGTTTTTGTCGATCAGGATTTTCTTATCGTTCATTAGAACTGTTATGAGGATTAAGGCAATTTGTAAGGAGCTGTAGATCTATATTCCGTACTTCATTTTCACTCTTGTGTAGATCTTATGCCGGTATAAATAGCCTCACGAGTGTTTTTATTTTATATTGTAAAAAATTTCAATGTGTCTTTTATTTTCTGTTGGACGAAATTTTACAAAAACATTTTGTGTCATTACTCTAAAGGATTACTCCACAGAATCTCACAGTGACACGTTTCCAGTTTACCAAAGTTTGGTTTTAGAAGATGTTGGCTTATTTGATGGAATTCAACGTGTTCTTTTTGCTTTCCGTCCTGGAGGAATTTGGGTATCGTCGATATTGCTACTTGACACTATTGTCTACCTATCAAAAGGTACTTTCCACGCTTCTCCGCCATCGTCTCATCCTTTCAGTTCGCAGTTTAGTGGTATTGTCTCAAAAATGAACATATCATCATGTATGTCTGACATTGCATATTGGTTTCAATATGTTCTTTCTTTTGAAACAAATAAAACTTTAGTTCAATATATTCTACTTGTAACTGGTTATTTTGTGAATTTTCATCTCGATATTTGACATTTTTTCATACAATGATATACTCTCTTTGTTTCATCTTCTACCATCTCTGGTAAGTTACTATATTCTAGAGTCGAACAGTATAACACATGGTAATAGTTATTTTAGTGTATAATATAGTGCAAATTTTAGACATCCTTCGTCATCCGGGTCTGAAAACTAAGAAAGTGATTATCCCGTTTTATCTCTCAGTTCTTCACACAGTTAGATCAATATAAACCATTGAAGTATATTTATGTAACGATATTTTTACTGATAGTTAATTTTTGTTTGTGTTTTGGGCAATCCGTATATTCCATTTTCGTGTGTTAAAAACCAATACATAAACTAAATGTCCTAAAGGTATTCAGTAATATGTAACAGAAAGTAATGGATCATCTTCCTACGGTAAATTTGTCTCAGCTTCGTTTCTGAAATATCGAAGAGGAAACACCTGTTTTCAATGTGATATTCACAGAAAACAGTGTATTAACATCGAAGAAGTAAGCGTCCTTAGGTATATATAGTAACATGTTGATTGTGTTAATAAGCTTCTTATACTTCTGAGAATTACGCTAGACCACTTAATAGTGTAATTTCCTAACTCTGCATTGTATTTAGTATTCAGCTATGTTTAAGAATACATGAGCTGCTTTCTTCAGTCTTGGATGGTGGCAGAAGTTTTGTCGTAATTTTGTATAAATTCAAAGATTTGAGTATTTGTGCGTATCTTTATGTCATAAGGTTTTGTCAGTTTTCTTTATGTACGGTTACAGCTTCAATTAATTATTTATATTAAGAATAGGTAGTGTGATTATTCGCGATTAAAATGACCTTTAACAGTAAAACATCGTAGCCTAGTTAATGTGAAATATAGAAACATCTTGGCCTATTTCATAACTGACAAGTTATAGACCTATAAAACCACTATTTATTTATGTCGCAGAAACGTTATGGAACTTAATAGCAGTTAGCTTATGAAGTAAACCGAGTAATTTTCTCAACAAATTTCATTTGATTTGTAATTTTCGGCTTCAGTTTTAAAATTTCTTAATGTCTAAGGGTTCTAATAACCCTTCAGTTATATAATTTGTGGCTCGAAATATCATCTATCCATTCTACCTAATGCTACCTTAATTGACTTTTCAATTCTCTGATAACCAGTCAGAATAAGGAAACTCAATCTTACTCCACAAATGTTGAGTTATTCAAATAAAAGAATACGCTCGCTTACTACATACTTGTCACCTTGTAAACAACAACTTCCACATTATATGAGTCCAACGTATCATCCACAATAGGGCACTGTAAAAACAGTCAGTCACTGTTTCCTATACAAAATATTTATAGGCTCTATTTCTCTTATTTCTCTACTCCAACCAACCCATGTATTAATATAAGTCTTCGATTGAAATGTTTTTTTACTTCAGCTTTCTCTGAACCTTTATTTCAAATATGCATTTTATTTTAATTGATATAAACTCGGATAAAATCAATGTAATGCTCGATAAATTTGATATATTTCCTTGAAAAAATATAAGCTTTTTCAATTTCTTCAGAGAGAATATTCTCATTAATAATTACATCTGGTCTGTTCAAATACTTTGTAATTATTCAAATCAAGTTTCTTGAGGAAAATAAATATTAATTTATTAGAAGATTAAATAGTCATATTGCCTTTGATGTTTATTTAAATAATTCATTTATGACAAAAGATGTAAAGATTCTTGTTCTAGGAATTGTCTTTTGTGTCTGTCCTTGAATTCTTTAGGAGTTGTTTCAATATAGGAACTTCACAAGCAATATCAATAACTAGTTCACAATTAAAATAGGTTTTCATCGGAGGAATTTTTTTTAAGAATCATCACCTACAGTAGATTTTCTGCCTAACTCTTCCTCGTGGCGTTTTTCGCCTACAGATTAATATAGTTATATTCATTTTAAATTAATCTTTGTTCCATATCACATCGCCATTTACATCATAGTTGGACAGTGAATGTTTACGTTTGTACAAAAGATATATTTCTCAATGAGTTAACTGTTCAGAGGTATAATACTTTACGCTTTTATATAACTCAACTGTGCATTTGTTCCTTTTGATTTTGTTTCCGCATAATTATTATTAACTTTTATTTTTATTCAAGCTTTAAATGAACTTGATTTACTGCGGTGGGTCCTAGTTGATATTGATGATGTGTTTGTTCCAGATCGTAATGTGCATCAGTCAATTGATGACATAAATGTAAGTTGTTTTTTACGAGGAAAAAACCAGATTTACTTTTTCTACCGAGACTTTCTTTTAGTTTATATTCAAGTAATTCCTAAAAGAACTTCATTAATAATATGATATTACTTTGGAGTTGCCCCTAATGTAATGCCTGGGAACAAGACTGGTTTGTTGAGGTTTTGACTTGGAACTAAATTCTGTTTACTGCCACTGGTGCAACCATTTGCTGTGACTGGAATAACTGCTAGTTATTACAAAGGAACGAGACTACCTTGTTGACTCAAGAAACAAAACAAGACTGTAGATGCAAACTAATTTATTCACCATCCACCTATTAAATAGCCCCCAAATGCCCTGGTACAGCCGAATGTTTAACTAACTTGTACTTAGTATTGAGATCCCGAATCCGACGTTGCATAATGAGAACACAAAGACTGGCTATATGGATTTATTTGACACACCTTTCTTATATGATTCCTTTACAGTCGGATTTGCATAATTTGAAGTGATTAGTATTTAACATCAAATAATCAATAACGTACTATGGAAACACATTTAAAATATTATACAGTTAAACATCTAACATCAAACAAATATAACTAACTGACAAAGTTATGTAACTGCTGTTTCTCAAAGTATAATTACACGTGACAGACGATTGGGAAAATTTTCATACGTCATTCGCACCCCAAACGGTTAAGTCATTGCTTGTCATATCAGAGCATTAATTTAGTAACCTAGAGATCATTCGTGTTTACCCTCTTTCTTTGTCATCTTTAAGTTATTCTAAATACTACTTTATTGCTTATCTTATAGAATGGTATGTTTGGGTTCTTAAAAACGGCACTATTATATTTACGAGTATTGTATGCAAATAAATTGATTTACTATATTTGCAACCAATTATTCATATGTGTCTATTCTAAAAGGCTATGATCAAAGCGCAAAATTACTGGCGCACTTTTATACCAGGATTTACATTTAATCTGGGATTCTGTGGTGCGTTTCTCAGTAAATCACGTTGGTCAGATAAAATTGTTTACAATTACATTTTACGTAAGTATATTTATTTTGTCTCAATTATCTTGAAAAATTGCATTCATTGTGGTCAAAATGGATTACTCCATCCCATCTTACATTCCTACTCTTTCATAATACTGACTAGGTCGCTCAAATTTTTCAGGTTTTTCTTTCATATTTTGTCAAAGGAGCCTTTATATGCTTCTCTCTAAATAATTGACATTAATCCTGATATGATGAGTAACTTTTTGAGATCGAATTTGATTACCTAAGTAATTCAGAAATTGACAACATGTTAGTTCAGAAATGTTTGCTTCTGGACATACTATTAGTGTTTGCGCAAAACGTTTATAAAACGCATACTTTAAATGAGATTAGAAACATAATTTTTTAGTCTACCAATATATTTTCTGTCAAACTACCCGAGTCATCAATTTTCTCTTGAATGATCAGACCGTCGGTAAACTATGATAAGGATGTAAGATCTAAAGTTTTATCTTATTTTTTACTGTATGGACTAGCTTATATATTTAACTTTATTTCCAACGTTTGAGGTGTGACATACAGTGGTGACATTCAATTTCGACATTCTCATCCTTCACTTACTCTTACGTTCGCCAAAGGGAAGCAAATATGATTGGTCTGATTCTCCGTAGTGTGATCCAGTGAGACCCATGCAGATTTGTGTATGCCTTTTTGGAAGAATATTGTGCCATCTATAACCATTTTGTTGAATAGACATAGATTTGCAAATCTCATTATTCTCATCCCTTTCTCCTAGTCCATGTCGTTTCATGATATCTTCATATCCGGTGTTTTCCATTCATAACTTCGGCGTTTAGATCTCCCATCAGGATGATTAGATCCTTTCCTGAGCACTTCGCCATGATCGACTGAAGCCCCATAAAACGGATCTTTATCGTCGTCGCTGCTATCATTTGTGGGTGCATTAGACTGGATAACACTCATTGTGATTCCCTCCATCTTTGTTTTGAAGGGTGCTTTGATGATCCTGGAATGATGAGATTCCCATCCTATGAGTGCTTTACGTGCTGCTTTCGACAGCATCAGAGCAACTCTGTGTGTGGAGTATTTTCTTCTTGGTGACCAGAGTACACAACACTTCTCTTGAAGCTAATCATTTCTATCCAGCATGGGTCCAATGGGTTTCACTTATTCCGAGAACCGCCAAGTTGTGTCTCTTCATTTCTGTAGCTGTTTGATTGGTTCTTCCGGTCTCCAAGATTGTCCGGACATCCGATGTATTTAATTGTAATTAATTGTCGATCGGTCGTTAGGAGAGATATCGGTCTCGTAAATTCAGAGGAATATCGGCTTTTACCATGAGACGTCATAATTCTCCTAAATGAAGATTCTCCAACTGCCAGGATAGATTTCAAATGGTTTGAATTGTTTTTTCTGGTTAGAGTGATTAAGTAACGTTGTTCTTTATGGAGTGGGATGGCTGACCCCATGCCAGACCCTCCTACTTTACTCGGGCTTGGGACCGGCAGTAACCCTTTAAAATCCACAGGCGGAGATTTAATGGTAGTCTAAATGAAATTAGTCCGTGATGTCGTTATTTTAAAATAAAGATGTTTTCAACTTTTTCATCGTGCTAACGTCTGTAATGTTTTAGTTGCGGATCAGTTAATGTTCACATTCATCTCTCAAAAAGTTTTGAAAACTTTTTTCAGAATTTTACCTGATTTTTACTTAAAATCGACTAATTTTGCATTTTCTTTTCACGTTGAGATCTTTCATGCTTGAAGATTTATTTATTTTTAGAAAAAGTGCATGAATCTTAATCATCTAGACTAACAATAAAACGCTTATTTTGAAGAAACCAAACTTTAAGATCAATGATATTAGCAACAATGCGATTTCTCTGTATTTTAAATGTGACTACTTTTTTTTCCGCCAGAAAATCGCCATAGATTTTGGTGGTTTAGTCATTTATGGCATCATGGTAGACCTCATATGATGAATAAAACATATATTCAACAAGATATAGAACGCAATCAAGTATTCGCCAAGGTAAGAAATGGGATCATTTGAATTTTTAATGACAAAACCAATAACCTTAGCTATAAACTTGTATTCATAATAAATTGACGTAAAATTAGTAAGCAATGTGCAAATATTTCATATTACAAATGTACTTTTCAAAACTTCTCACACTTTTAATGACGAATTCGTCGTCGTGAGATCACAAACAGAGTTAGAAATCTTTATTGATGAGTAGCTTGAAATACGAGCTAAACAACCGTTTGATATCTTTTTGTCGTGTCATTTATATGGTTCTATAATAGTCCTAAAACTGGTTTAAGAGTACCATTTTACTCGTTTGCTCCATCGACTTGAGTTAGTTATTCTAATCTTGCCCCATATACCACTTTGTAACATTTAACTGATATCACGCAATATATGTGATATATGAACCGCTTATAAATTTACTCTTGATTGCTAAGTTTTATGTTCATCATCACTAATTATTACAGCTTCATGGTTTTTAATGAAATACGGTTGGTCTATTCCAATGGTTCATTTTAGGAACATGATATTCCAGTTCAAATCGGTTATTCTATTGCGCCTCGTCATTCTGGAGTTTATCCTGTATATCCTGACCTTTATGAAGCATGGCGTACTGTGTCAAATGTAAATGTTACATCTACCATACATTATCCTTATGTCAGATCATCTGATTTTCGTTTGGGCTTCCGTTACAATAATATTCAGGTAACATTTCTTGAGAAATCGATGTCATGTACTCATGTTTTTGATCGTTACAAAATATTCTTCCATACTGTTCAAATATATCAGTTTCTGCTGTATATACGGTGGGTAGAAGTTTATACAATCAAATAAAACTATATTGAGATTTATTGTTAGGATGTACAAAAAATATACCATAAATTATCATGTTAAGTTTAATGTTGTCCTTGGACGTTAAATGAACATTCCCTATTGGTCGATATTTATTTCACTTGTTAAATATTGTACAAATGTTGTTTTCCATTTTATGGTACGATGTGGTTTGTTTGGCTGGTATATAAACAGAGTATGTTTGAAATATAACGATTCATAACTCAGAGGCTAAGACTTGTGTTCTGGTCTCAACCGGCTGGGATAGACAGTGAAGCATAGCCAATCGGGACTCTAAGTCGTTCATTATGTGTTTACGTGTCACGCTGCGCATCTAAATCTGCAGTCACCCGTTACAACATTTATATACTAAACTCCTATTCAGAATAATAATACGTGTTAGTTGGAAGTAAAATATATGGTTTGTTAGGCTGCGAATTCATTAGTTCATCTGTTTTTTATGTGGTTTGAGAAGTCGATTTTTAGCCATAATATTTCAGGTTAGCATTTCGGTTTGTCAGCAAGTTAATATTTCTAACAATCGAATAACAAGCATAACTCAAAGTTTTTTTTAATGAACCTATGTATAGTACCTAATTCGCACCAAACATATTATTAACTCAATAAATCTTCACAAATGTTAATCAGTCTGCAGCTTCAAGAATAATTGAAGAATCTAACTAATTTAGAACGTTTACACTCAATATATTCAATGGAATTTAGAGCGAATGGTCGGGCTACCTGTTTGAGAGTACGACAGGTTAATACTTGCTGAATATTATATTGTCTTAATTGACCATAGTAAATATACAGATATCATATCGGTAATAATTTAAACTTCTATGTTAAGTTTCGAGTCACATTTATCATAGAGGAATTAACAATTCCATCTTGTTCCTTAGGCTGATTGACGGTTACCGCTCGGTCACTCTATTGAATCTTGAGGACTCACAAGTGTTTTAATATTTAAGGAATTTTACCATAGTTGTTAGTCTAACTGAATATTATGGTATACAGTATTCCGAAACTTTCAAGTATGTGTGGCCAAATTCGATTTGGGCTGATAAATCTCTCAAGCACGATAACCAGTCACTTGACTAATTGATGATTAACACTTCACTCACTTGTTCGATGGTAATACTATAATGTTTATACCAGTGTAAAACGTGCAACAATATGTAAATATCCCTAGTTTTAAAAACTAATCATATTTCAATCTTAGATCACCTAAAATCTTATTTATTCAAATCAAAGGTGGCCAAATTAATAATGCTCAGCTTTATAAGCATATGGTTAAAAATTTTATAATAATTCGCTCAAAGAACTAACCAATATTATCGTGTCATTGTAGGTTCTTCCTCGTCAAACCTGTGGAATTTACACTCATACACCTCATTCCGAGGATATACGAGGCGGAATGAAACAGTTAAATGAGTATATTTTCGGCGGGACACTATTTAGCACGTTTCTGTTCAATCCGGTACGTTCATTACTAATATCATTCGATTATCTCTTTAAGACTCCTTTAGTACACTATGCCATACAAGTTCATATGTGTTTTAATTGCTAGTGTTGCTCGAAATCTATTCAGCTAGTTCTGAATCAAGTTGACTAATTTGATCGATTAAATTGTTACATTACAAGGAGATAAAAAACTGTCTGGAAACTTGTAGAGCACTTCACAACTGCAGAGTAATAATAAATTAAGTGAACTACTGACAAATAATGAAACCAAATCTGAAAAGAAAGGAAATCAGTTTATTAACATTAATTTCTTTAGATCTGACTTTTAATTTTAACATCTCTCATCAATTAATCTTACTGTGGTGTGTGCTATTGATATTGACAGACATAAGTAGTATGTATCACCAACCAAAAGTGAAATGCATGGCGGCACAAGGTTAGGAAGATCGAAGAGAGGAGAATGAGAACAGAGAGTGCCTTGGTGTGGAAACAAAGAAACAATCAATTCTGAGACAATTGATTGACATTTTGCAAATGAAGTGTTTACTGTATGGTTCTCAGATGTTACTAAGAAATTGTGTAATTTTGTATTCGAATACGTTTGGTTGTCCCCACTTGTGTTATCGCTCACTACACTACTACACGTGAACAATACTTGAGATGTGCTTATAAATCTCAATATGAACGGAATAGTGAGGAAATCTTTAAAAATCAAGCATAAAGAGATTGATCATTGATGATTATTAAGATATGATAAACTTTATAGACAAATAACTTATATCATCTTAATGAAACTATTGCCTACTAAAACATTGGGTTTAAACAACAACCAAAACAGTTATGATGTGGTTTCAATTAAATCGTCAGTGTGTATTATACTCGTACTTTTGACAAATTTATACAGAACCAACATGTATGTCATAAAATCTATTATGCACTGTATGGTATATTAATATACTATCAACATCAAGTATTCAGACAGAAAGCTCATATTCTAGTTATACTTCATCAATTTAATCTAATACGTATGAATAATAGTAATAAGGTGTTTGGAATACTTGTTATTCTCATCCAGCTACCGTTTTTCCTTACTAATGACATTAATTATCATTGTTAGAAATAATCAAACCAAGGTCGCACTAGTCTATGAAGTTATTTATTGTTGGTCTGACCTATCTAGAAGAATATGAACTCTTATGTAGTTTCGCGGGATGATCGTCATGTAGTTCAAACTAGACCTCAACAGCATAAACCCACCACCCTATTTGTTGGATGCTAATATTGTTTTAAATTTTTCTGTCACTCAATTTTATTCTTTCCGAATTATATTTTCTATACTTATTTAACTTCTACTACTGTTTATATTATCATTACTATTTGCTCACTTTCTTTCAGTCTGATGCCTATATGTTCCAGGCCCTCGGTAATTTATGAATTGGTGATAGATTAAATAACGATAAATTATAATTCCTATTAATAAAATGGTTTGTATTGTCTGATTACTTCTATTATAAATATAGTAATATTACGTAGTATTGATCATAATACTTATTATTTATCTTTATTACTTAGGTGTCCATCTTTATGACACATCTTGTCAATTATGGAAATGACCGAGTAGCTCTTTATTTATTTAATGCTATTTTTGAATTCATGACAAATTGGACAAATATTAAGCTAATTACATCACCTCCTTCGGAATTAGCTAATATCTACTCCGAACGTTTCAAATTATACGGTGTCAATGAACTTCCTTTATATTCAGATCCTTGTCTTAATTCACATCTTCATGACTTATGGCCAAGTGATTGGCCGTGTGGGTCAGATCATTTACCTAGTTTTATTATTATTGGACCTCAGAAAACTGGTTTGTTCTAAATTTACAATTGTTTAGTTTTTCACAAGTTCTCTTTATTTTCTATATATATATATATATATATATATATATATATATATATATATATATATATATATATATATATATATATATATATATATATATTGTTATTTCAATTAAACTATATACCAAACAATGTTAGACCACTATTGAAAACCTAAAAACACTGAACGACCTCTTCATCCTAGTATGGCATTCCTCAGTAGTGTGCACCCACCATCCTGCGCGCAAGAATTGAGTCTAGGACCTTCGGTCTCGTACATGGATGCCTAACCTCTAAACCACTGAGTTGGTAATCCAACGATATCAATGTTTAACTTTAAACTGTTATTGTTGGAAAATGCATTGTCAGTTATTAACAAATAATCCGTTCACAATGTGAAAGGATTTAAAGCACTAAATTTTAAAAGGGCTTTTATAATTACTTCGGCTGATAGTTCTAGAATATTTAAGATAATTTTATTGATTAACATATCATAACTGTATTGAAATTACAATTAATTGAAAAAAATTTAAAATGTTTAGTTAATTGTAGCCTATATATATGGTGCAAATTCATTTTCTTGTTTTGTTTTTGTCAAATTTTTCATAGGTTCTACAGCTCTATTACATTTTCTTTTATTAAATCCTGAATTAATGTCTAATAGATTCCAACATGATTCTACTTTTGAGGAGTTACAATTTTTCAGTTCTGATGATATTTATTCACGTGGTGTACATTGGTATATGAACCAGTTTCCGAATAATTCAATTGTATCTCCAACGCATGCTTATAATTTTAACAATAATAGGTCTAATTATTTAAAAAGCTATACTGCTGAACAAATACGATTTGAAAAATCAGCTACGTACTTTGATAATCCTAAAGCTCCAGCACGAATTTATGCTTTAATGCCCAAGGTGAAATTGATCGTTCTTCTACGCAATCCAATTGAACGAGCTTATTCATGGTATCAAGTAAGCTTAAAGAATTTTTGCTATTTTATGTCAATCCAATCCAAATCTATATGTCTACTACATACATATAGAGATTTATACATTCCTCTCACTGTTAAATTTGTCCTTAGAGTTGTTCATTTTAAAAATATACGTTATAATATCCAGTGAGTTTCTGTGCGCTAACATTTACGCTTTTTTTACTAACTCTGTTAATCTATTTGAATAACCTTGTCTATTTACTTTTTTATTTTGAAGTATTTTGAATTTTAAGAAATACACTATTGTTCGAGTTCCTTCTTTATCTAGTTACAATCTTGCTATGATTGATTAGTTTTCATATTTACTATTTCTACTGATTTTCGAATTATTAGTTATCATGTAAGAGTGAATATGAATTAGTTCAACTGGAGATTACTTTTAGAGAATTTTAGGTTGATCACTTCCAAAGGGCAGTGTACTCGTAATGTAACCTAAGAGTCGTAGCCTTTGCTTTAAGATTTATCAGCTCTTGATATAAATCAACACTGCAATTACTGTTTTTCATTGCCATGAGTACGATTAACTTATAGTACATATCTACCAATCGTATTTCTCACTGTAAACATTACTTTTATTTATGTTTTTTCCATACAGCATCGTTTAGCCCACAGAGATATTGCTCCACAGTTGTTGTCTTTTGTTGATCTGATGCGGTATGGTCATAATCTAACTGAGGCTACTCTACTTAGCATTGTACCAACTGATAGATTTTCTAACCTTTCTATCGACATTAATAATTCAAGTTTAATGCAACAACTTGTTTCAAGCATTAACCACTTATGGTCTCGATGCACTGGTCCAGGGAATTACGAACAACATTTACGTAACTGGCTGACATATTTTCCGGCCTCACAGGTACTTATTCACTTTGTTCATTTGCTAGTTTACTTTTTTAAAGATGAAACATGTTTGACATCCATTTTCAGCTACTACAATTTACAAACATTATTGGGAAAAAGGCTAAACCGATTTAACCCAATTTCTTCCAAGTTAAATGGGTTTATTTTGATCACTGGATACATCAAGTAATCATTTATCTTGTTTGTATAGCGTAAAACTGCAACAAAAATGTCTCGCCGTCATAAGGTAATCTTCTGATGAGTTTTATACGTATTCTGAACAGTTTAAGTGTATTACAAACAATTTTCAATTGATAACAAAGAGTGATACACAGGCTTCCTGGTACTTAGTAGTACCATATATTTATCAAATCGTGTATGAGTTATGCTTCTGTAGAAAATTGAATCCATAGATATTGAATATGTAAAAAATCGACTGATTTAAATAACCTGTGAATTTTTCCAGGTTTACTTTTTCTTCTTTTCATACTTGTGAGAACATCTCACGGGTGAACTCCGGGAAGCTCTATGAAGCTCAGAAAAAGCTGAAGATATTCCATCCAATCCTCTCTAGGAAGGATACTCCAGAACCCCTTGTACTCGGATTGGATGACTATAATGATTATTTCGTTTTTACTAAAAAACTATAAATACCTGATAGTTTTATATCATATTTGACACTGTTTGACATAGCATTTCTTTCAATTATCTTCTCATTTGCGACTTTGAGGGTTCTAGCGTTATAGTGCTCAAGTTGTACGCAGTATAATAAGAATCTAACCTCTAGATATAACAATACTAAGTATCATCAAGTATATAAACCTTGATTTTTGCACCCCATCAGCATTTAGATATGGAGGATTCCATTCAGTGCATCATTATGTCACTATCACGCTAATTTATTTAACTAGTTGATTGATTGATTTATTCAGTTCTTCATTAGTGTTCATTTTATTTCTATCGTTATCAACTGTTATTCTGTAGATGTCATTATTAAAAGATGTAGTGTGAAAGTGGATCAGTGAAGCATTAGTTAAATCAGACAATTTTCTCTAGCCAAGGTTGTATAGTAAATGAAATACAAATTTAAACAAACTGTAGTGAACAAGAACACGGCTGTGGACAAACGGATGTATTTATCACAACAATTACAGTCTATCTCAACAAAATCTGAATACCATATATTAAATCGTCAATTTGCAAAATATTCACGCATCAAACCAACCTGGATTGTTTCTGTTGCAAACACCAATCCATTGTCTCCCATTCCATTGTTCATAGGTTTTCTTACGAATTCCATTATGTTCTCGCTCCACCTTTCTTGATCTTCGCCATCTTTTGCTGCCAGACATTACGTTCTTTTAACGCACGTTATACACTACTTATATCAATATAAGTAGCTCACACCACAAAACTATGATAAATGGATATTTGGTTAAATTTTGTGTTACATAAGTATTTAAAAGTATCAGGATATGTTCAAATAATAGTTGTAGCTAATTCAATCGTATTTCAATAACTTGATAAAATGTAGCTTGTCTGGTTGTTTAGTTAGCATAGTGGAAGGAACCGATCACAATGGTTGAGTTTCTCCTCAACTCACACTTTAGGAGTACTGAGGAAGTTATTGGATGTAACTTAATTACAAATGAACACGAATAAAAATTAGAAGATTAGGAAACAGGTAAATATACCAGTAGTAATATGTTTACTTTAAAAGAACATAATAAATGAATACATTTCTGTTATCAGAATTTACAACTAATCTGAGCTATTATCATATGACTTTAAAAAAATATATGGATATTACTTTCTTTAGTTCCAATTTTATGTATATCATGTGTTGTTTCTGCAATAATTTATCCAAATATTTGATCTTTTTTAACAAACTTTTTTCAGCTCTTACTTTTAGACGCTGATAGATTTTCTCGAAACCCGGTGCCTATCATGAAGATTGTGCAGCAATTTATATTAGTTCGTAGGCAGTTAGATTATTCACAATACTTACAGTAAGTATAAAGGCATATTTCACAGATATATTTCGACGTATTTTATCTTTTATAGTTTCATAATGACTCCGGTCGTTAACTGATAACAACCACTGAACTAGAGTATTGGACGACTGTTTCGTTTTAGTTTAATGGTCAATCATGAGTACACATTATTTCACACTGTTTACTATACAATAATGATTTTTAGCTAATTTTATAACTAAATGCAAAACTACATGTAACGGAATAGTAGCACAATCAGTAATTTCCTCAAGTCATCATTGTGATCTTAATATTGGATGATAATATTGCTTTTGTATTTAGTGAGAATACCTTTTCTTTACATATACCTGTATTTCAGAAAATTATACTTGTCGTCGCAAATTACTCATGGAACAAGCAGCGAAACGGTATATATCCGAACTGATATGTACACCTTAAAACCTTTAAGTATTTTTTGCGATTCACTTATGCTTACTTATTTAGAAGAGTTGAATTTGATCGAAAGCTTCTCCTTAAATCATAGTGAGGTTGCTTACAGTAGATATATGGAAGATACAATTGTTATTGCTTTCTCTCTCAAAAAAAATGAAAGGATTACAAGAGTCGATATTTTAAGTAGTTGTACTTAAAATTCTGCACGAACTTACAAAAAGATTACCATCATTCTAATATTAAGTAATTCATAACCGAAAAGATATCATAAGTCATCTACTTACAACATTAATTAAATAAATTAATATTTCACGTGTTGTAAAATTAAGTTAATCTAGAAATTGGAAAAAAAATATCAAGGGAAGAAATTTAGTTTCAATTGAATGCTTTATTTTAAAATCACTCAGTAGTACCTATGTCTGTAAATTTTTCTCCAGTTTTCCAACTTTTAGTATCTAGGTTGAAATTGATATTCCTGAGGACTATAAGGAATCGTACTTATGTATAATTGTTATTTCATAGTTGGTCTTACCTCCGAAGCCATAACTTGTCATCAGGAAGCTGACTATTCTAACGTATTTTCAGTTGACTTCATACTCAGCATTGAAACGTTTGAATTCGTTCTGAGGCTGATTTTCAGCTACTATTAAATTTATTCAAAATATAACGATAGAAAATTACCAAATAAATTATACACCAACCTGGATCGTCAAAAGATGTTGGTTGATTCAGTTGTAAGAAATTAATAAGAGCTCTAATACCAACTTAAAGTCACTGAATAACAGGTAACCATTGCAAGTCAATACGTGGAGGATGGGTTCCTATAAGACGTCCAACTGAGAGAGATCTAAGTCATTTTTGTTGGTCGGTTTCAAATATGCTAAACGTGTATTCTAAATTCACTGTTATCCATCACCAATTTCAAGCAACTATCTAATACTATTTAACTTTAAATTATTCTCTATTTTAAAAGATCTATGACATGACTTCAATTAAATTTTTTTTAAACACCTTTTTCTCTTACTATTTGTATTTAGCTTCAATCGTAAAAAAGGTTTCTTTTGTGTGGTTACTAGAAACGCATTAAATTGGAATAATGGTTGCTTGGGTCGAAGTAAAGGAAGAACCTATGAACAATTAGATCGCAATATTTTACTGCCAAACTTAATGGAATTGTATTTCTCTAAGGCTAATCATAAACTGTATAGATTATTACAAAAATATCCTCTATGGAATAGTGCATTGACATTAAATACACATAAACTTCCATCATGGATTAAAATGAGTAATTAGCTTATTAAAGTCATTTGTCTCCTGGTTAACTGCTTGTACAAAATATTGCCATTTCTGCATTTCTTGATTAATAAACTTCAGAAAATCAACTTTTCTCTTTATATATATATATATATATATATATATATATATATATATATATATATATATATATATATATATATATATATATATATTAGTAACGCTGTATATCAATCAAAAGCGATTATCCCTCTAGATTATGAACATTAGGAAAAGCAATACAAACAAATATGATGAGTAATGTGACTACTAAATCAATTTTAACATCAATATAAAAAATTGCACTCGAAAAACAACTGTATCGCTCAGCAACACATATTTTTAATCTATGGATATATAACAGTGGAAGTAAAATGATGGTCGCTTATGGATGTAAGATATAGGTTTTATGTGAACATATAGATAAGAGTCGTTTGGGTTACATAGAATATAAGACAAAGTTATCAGCTTAATCTATTTTAGTCAATAGACTAAGTATATTGTTTTTTATTCATTATGTGCTGGTAACTGTGGAACATGCATAAAGGGAGTTTCATATGTGTTAGTGAAAAGCCCTACATCAATTATTAGTAATATTTGATTGCACTTAGACGTTTAAACATACTTCAATGGCCCTCATGTAATTATATAAATCATCTCTTGAAGATCATGTCTATACAGAATTCAGGAACAACTACAGTGGCATGATGAATCTATTATCTACGTCCTACAATTTTAAAGATTTCAATGTAACCCCGACCGTGTGATCTTACCGTGAAGAGCACCTAGCTATACATGCAAACAAACAACTCTCCATACCCAAGCTGGTCGTCAATAAAAATTACTGTTTTAAGATCTAAACGTATATCATTTTTTGACAAAAACAAATTCGTTGTATTCCTGCATTGTTTTCAGTAGTGGACCATATATACTGAAACCAGATAATTTAGTTTCCTTTTAGGTCATTGTTAGTGAGTGAGATCTTCCAAACTAATAACCGAAATCACAAACGGGGATACGATACCGGTGGATTTGAGGAGACAACAAAGTCTTTATATCTTCTTGTAAGTTCATTTAAACAAATAACATTCGCACCGATTTTAAAACCAACCATTTTCACAAATAATCAGAATGGACAGAAACGAATTAAACACTTGTCGCCGTAATCGTCAAACACGTTGCTTCTATATGTATAGCCATTCAGTCACTGGTCCTATAGATTTTCTAATTTCCTTTCAGTCAAACTGCACTAGTCCTTCGGTTTGTTGAGTAGCTCTGGTTTCTCTTCGTAGTCATCCAGTTGCCGTGAGTGTTACGAAACTCCTTCCAATAAATAACAAGTCATTGCAAGATATTTCAAATGTTTCATCCGTGTATTATTTAGTTATAGGTCCATTTCATCTCACAATGGTCCCAATGATGCAAACATACTGTGGGCTCCTAATAGTTCATGGTGTAATTTTTTTAAACAGGATCCCAACACTTCTTTAACTACTAATATTTTGCTGTTCCTAATGTTATCTTTACAATATTTCTATCTGTGAGCCACTAGATATAAAGACTGTACTTGTCGAACACAGAGAGACAAATGTTTTCAAATTATATCTCAATTCTGTTTATTTACGGCAGCGACTTTATGATCTTCCTACTGTGGAAAGAAGAAACTCCCCTGTGATGAACCGTAGTATATGTTTGTAGCTTAGCGATGTTTGATACCTGAAACCTAATCACAAATTTCATTCCATTTAGCATACTGTAATTCATGCAATCATACAAGACCATTGGCTACTAAAATATCTGTTTCTCCTAAGAACTCATACGCAAATGTGGGTGTATTTCCTATGTTAGTTTACATAACCCATAAAGCGAAATGTTGCCAGTAAATCGTATCAACGTTATTTTACCATCTGAATAACCTCATGCACATATATACGTTCAATGTGATTTTTTGGGAATATACATAGGCTTTGAAACAGGGAAATGTAACTAAGTGTTCAATTTTTTTAAAATAAAGTTCATATCATAAAAAATCACTCAAGAAGTTATAGGAAGACTTTAGGATAGAATCACAGAATACTTTTTATTTACAAACTTCATATTGTAAAATGCAGTCAAAAGGTAATGATCTTGATGCTTCACATAAATTTCATCTAATAGACAGAGAGTCGTTCCAACTTTCTATCAAGTGCTGGATTCACTCACTACAGTCGGTAAGTTTGATTTAAGATGTGAGCTCTGGGCAGTTTTTAATGAATTATTTCCATCCAGACAGCTGTATTCATTACCACTAGCCGTTGGGTCAAGTTGTCTATTTGAATGTTTGGAAGAGTGATCTAACTTCCCAGAACCCGGTACCAAAGAGATTGTCAGTTTTAAGGGTGATCGATGATGATTAACTGTTCCGTTGGAATATTTGCATTCCAGTTGGTCAGATGAGGTTGCTGAGTTCTTGCACGAGATCATGTCTCCCGAAGGTGACTCCAAAAAATTCTCTTCGGTTTCTGTATCATCATCTTCTAAACGTTGTTGTTCTGCTATGCGCCTAAAAGTACAAAAATATTTTATTTTTGAATTATCAACTCTTGTATTCGAGTTTAATTTGATGATATAACACCACTGCCCTGACCAATGTAAGTAGCGGTTTTTGTTTCTTATAATGGGAGAGTGGAAATACGGGTCCCCAAATATCTATAATTATTGTCAGTCCATTCGCACTTTAGGTTTTACCAGTACGGAATATTATGTAACACCACAAATGTAAACCATCGATAATTTCGAAATATATAACTACTACACTTAATATGTTCACACTTGAGAATAGTATTTCTCCCAACTCCATATTACTCTCGACATCCTCAAATACCACTTTATTCCATGCATATAAAAAACAATAACTAGCATTTTAAACGTAAGGGAAATCCATATTGAGTTTTCCACAAATTCTATTTAGATCCTAAGTTACACTAAGAATAAAATTTGGACTATTAAGCGTGCAACGGTGGTGTGAGGTACGACTGCACATGCTATCTGTCAATCTAAGCAGTTCGATGTTTCGGTTCTAAAATCTATTGTCAACAAAGAACCTGGGAATACTACAAGAAATGAACTACACTGATATTTTGGGTGACATATTTCGAAAGGGAGACAATAATTTGTTGGTTTGTCTCAACAAACTTTATTACGGTGGGCTTCATAATAGAAACAAAGATACGAATGATTGACCTATGAAAGTAACCTTAGCAAGAACAAAGTTTCAATAAAACATCAATACAGAAGTGTCCCACTTACTTGTTGGCTCTTCTTGAACTGTTTCTTCCTAATCCCATACAATTAGATAAATGGACAGCATAACGTGTAGCAGCAACCTTACAATTACACTTCCCACACCGACAGCAACTAGCAGTTTTGCTAGGGTCTCTGGCAGAGCCTGAATTCGAAGAACCATTGCCAAGATTATCCGATAAGTTTGTATTTTGTTCAGGAGCAATAATATGGAAATATCCTAATTTTATTGCACGATGCATTGTTAAAATTCCATCCATCAAACATGAGTCAACTAACTCATCAATAAATTCTTGCAGAATATCCTGAAGATCACTATGTGTTACAGAAAAGGGCTTTTGCATTTATGTCGTATTAATGTAGGTGTAAAATTCAGGACTGCTACTTGGTAAATAAAAAACGGAAATGTATTTTCTCTTAACGAGGTATATGTATTCATGTATCTATATTCAGTGAAGAAATACAAGTTGGTAAGTCCTTATGAAAGCAAACAGTATAACAAGGCCTCAACAATCTTAGAAGTACAAGACTATAAAGATAATGGGTTATAAACTGAGTTATCACTTTTACAGGGACAAAAACTATTATATATCTCATTACAGTAAGTATTGGTAATCAATATTCGAACACTAGATTTCCGTTTAGCCTGTATGTTCACTGATATTTATAAAATGCGAATAAAAGCCATTTGAGTCATGTGATAACAATCTAAACGCCGAGAAAGCAATCAAATGAAAAAGCGCACATGTAAAACTTATGCTAGCATAACTTTTCCTTTAGATCCTATGCACATGCTGTATCTAGGTGTCACCAAAAAGCTAGCTAATCATTGGGTAGAATTCTCACATAGAAGATTACTTAACTTGGACTCATGTGTAATTAGGGACAAATAATTTTATATCTGGTTGCGTGACAAGTACTCCCTCCGACTTTCAGTGTAAATGCCGTGGACTGGACTTCATATCGGTATGGAAAGCTTCTGAATGTAGGTTGTTCCCTCTATATTTAGGCCCAGTGATTCTGCAAAAAACATTGCCCCAACCTTTGTATCTTAATTTCCGGCGTTTAGCGTTATCCATTAATCTGCTTGCACACCCTAAATTACATGACACAGTTATAGAATCCGTCAGAATGGATTTACGAAACTTTCTTAAGGAATACGAATGGTGTTATGGGTCTGAAAGCTTAGGTTACAATGTACATTTGTTACAGCACCTTCCTGACGACGTTCGTTCACATGGACCTTTACATAGTTTTTCAGGCTTTTCATTCGAGTCTTACATGAGACAAATACAAAAATCTGTGCATAATGGGTATGCTGTTACAAAGCAAGCAGCTCAGCTTTATGTTGAGAAAATGTCCTTCTGTATTAGGCTTCAAGTTAGCCGATTAACTAGTACTACCCCAATAGCCGCTAAGGAGGTCTGCAATAAACAAGTAATTATGTATAAGGATAGTAAATTAACTTCATTTAAGCCTGATAATGTTGTAGTAGTAAACGAACAGCCTGATTTATTCACTGATATAGGGGAGGATGTACTACTAAAATTTAGGTCTTTCACTGACCCACGCAACTACTTCGAAGATTCTTTCTCATCCAATGATATAGGAATATTTATGTGCTCCGTAGTTAGCCATGAACACGCATGGGTATCGGTTAAGGACATTGACTGTAAATGACTTGAGTATAAATGTAAAGCTGCTACTAGCGAAGTTCAGTGAACGCGAACATCCGCATCAATTCGACTGCGAACTATCAAGTCAGCAGTTCCCTTTGTCATCTGAAGAGGAACTGCAGATTCTGGAC